GTGACAGCGCGAGCCGGTCCCTCGCTGCGGCCGTGCCCGGGACCCTGTAGGCACTGGAGCGGTGGTGACTGCTGGTGTCGTTCGCAGTGCGCAGAGCGGGTGCTCAGTGCGCGGGGTGGAGAGCTGTCAGGCTCCCGGTGAGCAGGGAGGGCCAGTGCCGTGCCGTGGCCAGCGTCTGCCCGGGAGCTCGGGGCACTCGATCAACCGCTCGCTGCGGAGGGCTTGCGCTGTCCGTCCGGCTGGCAGAGGCAGGCTGGTGGCTCTGGCCAACTTTGGCCTGAGGGCGGCTGAAGCTCAGTCCCACGTTTGGGTGCATTTCCATGTCGGCGTAGGATGGGCCACGTCCATCAGAGTGCGGCCATGGCTGTGGTGAACATGCTCACTTGGCGCCCACTTCCAGGGCGAGGGTGGTGCTGGGTGTGTTGCTCTGGTGTGCGATCCCTCGTGGAGCAGTGTTTGTGCCCGGACATCGACGATCTCCGCAGCTGAGCACACTTGTGACTGCGTGTGTGCTCCCATCGACCCACACGTGTGCCTGTGCCACTGCGCGCCCGTGACCGCGTGTGCTCTCGTGTGACTCTGCGTGGGGGTGACGCCGTGTGAGCGGGCACACATGCGATGCGAGTGTGTGAGTGAGGCAGAGACTGTCCGTATGCCCGCGTGCGGCTGCGACTCCGTCCCGTGGTGGGGGTGCGTGACTGGGTGCCCCTGTGCGGAGGAGGTGCTGCCTGCCCCGGCCCTTCCTTCCCTGGGTGTCCTGCTTGGGGTGCACATTCCTGCCTGCGTAGGTGCTTGCCAAACTGGATCATCAGCACACAGAGGCATTTTCCCTCTGACTCACCGAGGTCGATTTGGCTCTGGGGAACGCACCTGGGCAGGAGGTCCCTCTCTTCACAGGGGTGAAGGTGGACACAGGACCCGTTTCTGTTGTCTTTACTCCCTCCTCAGAAGCCCTTCCTTGCCCGACATCTATTTTCAGCCTGCATTGTGTTGGGTAGTTACTGATGCCATGAATCGGTATACTGCTAATTGCGCTGCGCTGTAGGTTCAGCTATTCCGGTTGGGCTCCGGCAAAGGCTTTGCTCTGGGCCGCGTCCCTGGCAGGAGCGGGGTGCAAGGGGGTGCAGAGGGTACCTGGCCTGGGCCAGGCAGGAGGGTCCCGTCTCTCTCTGCTCTGTGCAGCACAGACCCCGCCTGCACCCAAAGGCAGACCCGAGTTGCTCTGCGTTGGCCCCCACACGCTCCTCAGACATGGCACAGCACTGGCCACGGCCAAGCGGGACACTCCTCTGAGCTGTGCCGGAGACACCGGACCACTACGTGGAGCTGGCCCAGCTCATTTAGACACCTCTGAAGTGCTGGTAGTTGGCGGCTTCCCTTGAAGGTGCATTACTTTGCATTTGTGGAAGCAGAGGCTGTGATTTATCTGCCCACAGCGGATGCCGACTGTGGAGCTGGAGCCCCGGTCCCGTTATAGCTGTGGAGAGCACACCAGGACGCTCACCGGAGCCCAGACCATGACTCCCCTGACCACTTGCACATGTCTGCCCAAGGATGTGTCCACAAAGCAACCACTGGCCACCTGGACCTGCTCTCCCTTGGCTGCCCCAGGGCAGCCGGGGTGACCTGCGCTGCACACAAACATCACCCGGGGTGAATCAGCCCTGAGCGTCACCTCCTGCTGCACGTGCAGGTCTCTGAGCGGCCCCACCTTCCTCACCGGCACCACATGGCTTGAACAGTTGTGTGAGGTGGAAATGCTGGTGCCTCACCTCAACCCTGCTCCCAGATTGTCCCCTTGTTAGTGGAGAACAGGACTCCCTCTCCCGCGATGAGGACGGAGCATTTAGTCCCTCACGTCCCTCCCTACCCCCTAACCTGCTTCTGGGACATGACAAAACTTCTTCTTTTCAGCCCTAAAGCCGCTTAGCTCTTTCACGATCTTCTCTGAGGCACTGTCAAGGGCTTTTTGGCGATGGATGTATTTTTGGGGATGGTGCTCAGCAAAGCTGAGCTCTTCTGTGCCCAGTACCGTACCACCCCAGTACCACCGTACCAGTACCACCCCAGAGGTGTTTCCCCAGGGGACTGGGACGATGCTGTGGGTGAGCCCTGTGCCTGCGTCCCCATGCCTAACAGCTCCTGGAGCCACCAAGGGGGCTGCACCCACTGGCACAGGACAAGCTGGTCCTCCATGGTCCTCCTGCTCCTCCACAGCCCCCCCGAGAAGGGCCGATGAAGAAGAAGGGTGCCCACAAGTGCATCTCCAGGCAGGTGGCCATTCCTGTGTCCCCATGGGCGACTCCAGTGCCCACATGCCTTCCCCGGGGAAAGGGGGCACTGCAGAGACTGCACGGCGCCTCTCAGCTTCCTAAATGCCAATCCCTATGCTGCAGCGCTGAAACCCTGGTCCTCCTGGCCGGGGTTGCCCATGTGCTGCGTGCTGGACCGCGGTCCTGTCCCGCTTACTCACTGCTTTGGCCACCGGCTGTGGGACACACAGGGCGCATATCTCCCCCTGGCCCTTGTCTTTGGCTCTGCGGGTTCGGCTGGGATCCTGTCAGCCCCGTTCCCAAAGCCACCGGGCACAGGGGACACTTGCCCCCAGACTTGCCTCCATCCCTTCCCCGGCTCCTGGGGTTCATAGTTAGACCTGAGACTTAAAGGAGGGCTCCTGTCTCTGTCTGCCACCCGGGGGCATCACCAGCATCTTACCCGGTGACACTGATGTCATGGGGCCCATTACCCATTCTCTCGGCACTGGAAGGCGCCCACCCAACTCCAACACTTGGCATTAGCAGCTGCAGGCAAGTACTGCTGACCACGAGGCGTCGCGAGCAAGCACGGGGGTTGTTCTTGACCGTGGAGTCCTGAGTGCAAAATTGGAAATGACCCACAAACTTGGAAACAGAATACCAGCGTAAGGAAGGTGGTACACCGGTTGCGTGTCCCTTGAGGAAGCTGTTCCATAGGTCTGCTCCCGGTCTGCACCAAGTCCTGGAGACATCTCACAGGGGAGACCTTTCGGGTCACCCCCAGCGTTCCCACCGCAGGTCCGTCAGCAGGCGGGTGACAGGGACTGTCTCAGCGGAGCGCGTGCTGTGTGCCGGCTGCAGCTGCGCCGCCAGCGACAGCGCTGGTGCGATACCTGCAAGTGGTTTGGAAACCGATGTCCTTGCTGAGCAGTGCCGATTGCATGATCCATTTTGTCTTCTTTCTCTGGAAGACAGCCGGTTTGCAAGCTGACGCTGAAACTCTTGTGACTTCAATACGATCAGAGGTTTTTGAACTGTGCGGCAGTTCCTCTTTTGGTTTACAAGCCAAAATACAGTGACTTCACGTTTCGCTTTGCTGGAAAATGCTGGGAGCTGGATATTTGTGAGAGCACAAAGGAAACTGCGCTCAGGTTGTCCCAAGGAGGAACGTTGACTTCTCCCTTGACTTCAGGTGTGGGGAGTTAACCTGCAGTGACCTGCAGTCGCCCAGCTTCCCCCTTCCCCGACAGCCTGACGGGCAGTACGGACCGCCCGCAGCTTCCCGGCCCTGCCACTTCCATCATCTGGCCATGCCGCACCGTGAGCCCTGGTAGGGGCTCTTTAGTGACCGGACAAGTGGCTGCCGCCCTTCCCCTTTGGCCAGACCAGGGGATGGAGTTGTCAGGTCCATGAGCAGCCAGAGCTGCGCCGCCTGCGAAGCTGTGGGTTGGCGACCAGCGCTCGGTGCCTCCACGCATGGTGGGGCTGCGGCTCTTGGCGTCCTGCAGGTCCTGGGCTTGGCAGAAGGCAGGGAGGGGACAGCATCACCGTCTGGGGAGAGCTTGTGTCATGTCAGGATCCCTACGTGTGGCACTGGGCTGCCGGGGCTGCCACCCAGCTGCAGCCAGCTGTGTCTGTCTGGCCTTGGAGCGGCTCAAAGGGCTTCTTCTGATTGTTCTTCTTTTTAGTGTAGACCCCAGAAGAAGTAAAGAAAAATCAGTCTGTAGGTCTCGGAGAGTGTCTGAATCTATGGAGAGTGAAGCTGGGATGCTGACCCATGGGATGCCCCGGTCCTCGCTGCGCTGAGTGACTCACCAGCTGGTCCCACCGCTTCCCGGGACGCCTGCCACGGAGACACCAGGCTCGGGCGTCCACAGCGTGGTGGCTCGGCCGCTCCTGCCGGAAGGTGTAGGTGTCCTTGGCTGAAGCAGCCACGAACCACATCAGAGAGTGAGGAGATGGCTTTCTCAGGGATGCTTCAGCACGGAGGTGTTTGGGGAGTGTTTTCCTTCAGCGTTTGATTCGGGGAGCCTCCTCTGCCGCAGCGCGGGTGCTGACGTGACTCCCTCCCAGCCCGTCCCCTCAGCGCCGGTCCCTGCGGTTCTGGAGTCGCCGTGGCGGGTGATGCACGGGGCAGGCACAACCTCACACCTGAGGAGGAGAGGGCAGCCCCTCTGCTCGGGCAGCCCTCCGGGGATACCCACACACAGGCGGCCCCTGAACGGGGCAGGGGACAATATTAACCAGAGGGAAATCACCCGCAGCCGCTGTCCCTCTACCCGGTGGGACCCACGGTGTGGAGCTCGTGCACCGGTGTTGCCGGCGCAGCGGTGTCCTGATGCGCGGGGCCGCCCATGCGCCGCGCGGGTGCTGCTGGCAGGCATGGAGACAGCTCGGGATCTGCAGAGCCGTGTGTGCCGGCGGTGTTGGGAGAACTTCACCTTGACTGCAGGCGCCGCACGCTGCCGCGCCTGCTCCGCCTGTTCTCGCCCGGCCGAGCTGAGCAATGCGATGCGCTTTTGAAGGGAAGAATAACAAAAATGTCCCTTTTCAAAAACCACAATGAACCGGCCAAGCCCAGCACCCAAGGGATGGGCACAGGCAGGCAACCATGGACAAACAGAAAAGACAAAAATCCTTTTTATTCTCTCTTGGAGAAACGTGATTGCACAACTCTGATCTCTGTGGGAAAGAAGCTCTCAAGTATCTTCTGCCCTGACACGTGATTCCTGGGAAACCGATCGGTGAGGCTTTGGCTGGTGCTTCAGGCCACCTGGCCCACGGCGGGGAGGAGGATAAGCCAGGGGTGTGCCGTGGCAGCAACTGCCTTCTGCCACTCTTCCAGGGGACTCGTTTATTGTTTGACTTCCCCGCAGAAGAGTTTCCCTCCGCAGCTCCTGGGCACAGCGAGGGGAAGGATGCACACGTATAGACCAGCCCAGGTCCCCCTACCCTCACTCCTGCCCTCCTCTGAGGGCATGTTGGGAGAGAGAGACTCCCTTTTCACAAGGGGTAACATTGAAAAGACGAGGGGTGATGGGTACAAGTCACTCCAGGAGAGATTCTGATGGGACACAAGAGGAAAATTTTTCACAGTGAGAACAATCAGCCATTGGAATAATTTCCCCAGGGAATCACAGACTGGTTAGAGTTGGTAAGGACCTTAAAAATCATCTAATCAAACCCCCTGCCCTGGGCAGGGACACCACCCGCCAGCCCAGGTTGCTCCAAGCCCTGTCCAACCTGGTCTTGAACACCTCCAGGGATGGGGCAGCCACAGCTTCTCAGGGCAACCAAAAATTATCCACAGTGAGCATTAATCACTGCCTGGGCATGTTCCTGGATGGAGTGTCTTTTGCAAGGCACCAGTTCGGCATACTGAGCGGGGCCATAGTGGTCCTCAGGTGGAGGAGAAGATGGCTGCCACGAGGCTGTGGCATGTCCTGGAGCAACAGGAGTGCTGCTGTGCTTGGGCTGGAAGGCGTGGGCTTGGTGATGGGCAGGTGAGGTGTAGAGGCTGGAGCTGCTGAGGCCACACAGTCTGTTCTACTCTTAAGAAAACAAAACGAAACAAACCAACAAAAAAGCAGGATCATAGAATAATTTAGGTTGGAAAGGACCTTCAGAGGCTGTCTGGTCCAACTCAGAGCAGGTCCAGTCAGATCAGATTGCTCAGGGCTGTCTTCAGTCAGTGTTGATCACCTCCAAGGGGAGGGAAGGGACCTCTGGAGATCCACTCCCTCTGCTTAAAGCAGGGTCAGCCATAACCAGCCTGAGGTCCTGAGGTCGCTCAGGACCATGTCCAGTTGGGTTTTAAGTATTTCCAAGGATGGAGACTCTGCCAAGCCCTTTGGGCAACCTGTGGCAATGTTTGACCACCCTCACAGTAAAAAAGTGTCTCCTGATGTTCAGAGGGAACCTCCTGTCCTGTCTGGCCTCTTGTCCTGTCACTGGGCACCACTGACAAGAGCCTGGCTCCATCTTCTTCGCTCCCTCCTTTCAGGTGTTTATATACATTGGTGAGATCCCCCTGAGCCTTCTCTTCTCCAGCATGAACAGTCCCAGCTCTCGCAGCCTCTCCTCATAGGAGAGGAGCTCCAGTCCCTTCACCATCTTTGTGACCGTTTGTGGGACTGTCTCCAGTATGTCCATGTCTGTTGTCCTGGGGAGCCCAGAACTGGACCCAGCACTCCAGGTGCGTCCTCACCAGTGCTGAGTAGAGGGGAAGGATCACCTCCATCGACCTGCTGGCAGTACACCAGGAGGGCTGGTGGCCTTCTCTGCTGCAGGAGCGCATTGCTGGCTCGTGTTTAGCTTCTTGTGCACCAGGATGGTCAAGCCTTTTTCTGCAAAACTGCCTTCCAGGAGGCCACCCATCCTGGAACTGGTGCCTGGGGCTGTTCCTCTCAGGGGCAGGACTTGGGATTTCCCTTTGTTCAACTGCATGAGGTTCCTTTCTCAAGTTCAGCAAAGGAAAACGCAAAGTCCTCGCTCCCAGAGCTCTGTAGCCACTGCTGATATCCTCCAGATCACTCCTGGCACTATCATTGGTGCCCACAAGAAAGGGCAGCCAGACCTAGTGGACTGAGGGCTGGACAAATCCTGTCGGTCTGTCTGCAGCATCCCAGGTCCTGGCCCCAGGTCTCTGTGAAAACCCTGTAGATCCCCTCCTCATTTTCCCTGGTGGTGCACAGCCTGCTCAGATGCCCCAGGCACTTTCAGCAGTCCCAGACCTTGATGGCAGCGTCCGCCCTGTGGGGCTCTGGGCTGAGGCCCCCATTGCGTGGAGGAGAGCAGCAGCAGTCGGTGCAGGAGTGTCTGTCCTGCAATGCGTCGAGAACGTCGCTGCTGGGTCTGCAGGAAGCCCTCAGCAGAGGTTCTGGGTGCTGTCATGACAACAGCTATGACTCCTGCGATGTCCTCGCCGGCTGCTCTCTCCGGCAGACCCAACGGCACCAGAAGCAGCTCCCCGCACAAGTGGGAATGGAGCCAGAGCTGCTGGGTGAACAGACAGCGCCAGCCCCGGCAGTGTCCCCGCACCATCCTGCCAACGGCCCCACCAGCCACTGAGCATCTGCTCGTAGCCCCCTGTTTGCAGAATGCCTGCTGAGGGATGAGGCCAGAGCCACGAGGATGATCCGAGGGCTGGAGCACCTCTCCTATGAGGAGAGGCTGAGAGAGCTGGGGCTGTTCAGCCTGGAGAAGAGAAGGATCCAGGGAGATTTTATTGCCGCCCTCCAGTCCCTAAAGGGGCTCCAGGAGAGCTGGGGAGGGACTTTTTACTGGGGCATGGAGTGACAGGATGAGGGGGAATGGCTATAAACTGGAAGAGGGCAGGTTTGGATTAAACATTAGGAAGAAGTTTTTCACTTTGAGGGTGGTGAGGCAGTGGAACAGGTTGCCCAGAGATGTTGTTGGGGTACCATCCCTGGAGGTGTTCAAGGCCAGGCTGGAGGTGGCCTTGGGCAACCTGGGCTGGTGGGAGGTGTTCCTGCCCATGGCAGGGGGGTTGGAACTCGATGATCTTCAAGGTCCTTTCCAACCTAAACCATTCTATGATTCTATGATTCTATGACTGGAGCGGCCACCACCTCCAGCCTGGCCACTGGAGGCCAGTAGCACCCAGGACAGACCAGCAGCACCCAGTATGGTCCTGCCCAGCTGCCAGAGCCCAGCTGGGGTCTCTGCACAGGCTGAGGGACATGTCTGCCACCCTCCCATTTGCAAGTTCAACCAGCAGCAAAGCTGCACATGTACCCCATGGACATACAGACACAGAGGGCACTGGCACGGCCGGTCAGACAGACCGTTGCCATCGGTGGCAGCTGCAGACAGGACCCACGTCACACCCATGCATTGGCAGCCGCGTCCCCTCCTCCCCTGGGGCTGGCGGAGGCCGGAGGTCATGAGCGCAGGCACCAGCATGGCACTCTCTGGGTTCACTCGTGGACGCCCCGAGAACCAGAATGGCCCCTCTGTCCGCTGGCACCTCTGCCCAGGTCCTCACCCAGGGGTCCCCTGCTCACCCCCTGTCTGCTGGTGGACACACACGCGCCCCCCACGCCGGGATCGGGGGAGATGCTCACCACCCCCCGCAGCCAACACCAGGCACACGGGCTGTGACCCATGGTACCGCTCCAGACCCCGGCATGGAGGCCCTCACTCACACTGGTCCCCCATCATGAGCTGGTTTTTGGGACACAGTCTGTGGGACCCTCCCCAGACCCAGAGAGCTGAGGCCCCGCCAGCTGCTGATGCTGAGACCCTCAGGGTGATGTCTATACCAGCTGCGAAGCCCTCCTGTGCCTGCAGTTCCTTGATAGCCCATCAATTAGTGCCGCTGACCAGGTTTGTTTCTGGTTATTGTCTTCGTTAACACTAATTGGCCTGGTCAGGTTTTATGTCTCTGTGTTTGCCTCCCTCTGTTTTCTTTCAGCTCTGGAGCCTCCAACAAAGGAGAGACATGGGCCTGTTGGAGCGGGGCCAGAGGAGGCCCCGGAGATGCTGGGAGGGCTGGAGCCCCTCTGCTGGGAGAGTTGGGGGGTTCAGCCTGGAGAAGAGAAGGCTCCGTGCAGATCTCAGAGCCCCTTCCAGTGCCTAAAGGGGCTCCAGGAGAGCTGGGGAGGGACTCTGCATCAGGGAGGGGAGCCGTGGGACCAGGGGGAACAGTTTGACGCTGACAGAGGGGGGATTTAGGTGAGATCTGAGGAGGAAATTCTCTCCTGTGCGGGTGGTGAGCCCCTGGGGCAGGTTGCCCCGAGAAGCTGTGGCTGCCCCATCCCTGGAGGTGTTCAAGGCCAGGTTGGACGGGTCTCGGAGCAACCTGGGCTGGTGGGAGGTGTCCCTGCCCAGGGCAGGGGGGTTGGAACTTGATCTTCAAGGTCCCTTCCAGCCTAAACCATTTTATGGCTCTATGATCATCTTAACAGAAAGAATGAACATCCCCCAGCTCCATGCATCCTGACTGATTGGTGCAACTAGCCAGGTTTGTTCCAATCCCCACCTCCTGTATCGTTTGCTGTTCTTGCTGGTCCCTGGCTCTTCTTGTTGGTGGCTCCTTTGACCAGTACCCTCAAAGGAGCAGGTGCTCCCTGGCCACACCATCGAAGCCCCACTGGCCACACCATCGAAGCCCCACTGGCCACCAAGTCTCGGCCACTGCTGAGGTCCTGGTTGTAGCCCCACCAAAGAGCCCGGTCTCCCCTCAGGATATTGCGTGGTGCCTCTGGACGGACACAGGTTGCGTGAGGTATCCTGGCGTGGAGGTTTTTCCCTCCCTGACGTTCACATCTGATTTACTCTGGCGGCTGCTGAGCACACATCAAACAACCTGTTGCCTTTCTTGCTGCTGAACAGCAACAGCTCGGCGCTGGGTGTGTGGACACGAGGACTGCTTCTCCCCGTATGCACCTTTTTACCTGCCTCAGACATAATCTGACATTTTCATTCCAGCCACTGCATGTTGCTCGGTCTTCCCGCAGCTTTTGCAGCTGGCACCTTCCTTTGCGAAGCTGAATAATTTAATACCATCTGCCCCTTCCCCGCTCGCAGCATTTCCCAGACCGTGTCTGCACGTGTTACACGGCCCAGCTCTCCGCACGGGTCCCTCTGGCCCTACTGGTGACTCCCTCGCGGAGAAGAGGGCTCGCTTTTTCTTGTCTTTACTCTCCTTTGAGCATTTGCAGCTGTTGGCTCCGTGACGTCCCAGCAGCAGCCACAAACCTTTCCTGCCGTTTCCCCACAGCCCAGTTCTTACGGAAAACAGCAAATATCTGTTCCCTGCTTGCCCTGCCCATGTCATTTATGGTTTTATGCCCCTTTTGTGTCCCTGCCGAGGACCTGCCCTTCCTCCTGGCTGCAGAGGACGTTCTCTGCCTGGCTCAGACTCGGCAGCGACAGCCGCCGTTGCTGGCCCCACTCCATGGAGACGGGATTCCCTCCAGGGTTCTGTTGGTGTATTTGTGACTTTGACCCCACTCTAAGCTTCCTGATAACAGCCCTGTGCTGCCACCAGCACACCCTCCTCGGCCGTTCCGTGCATTTTATACCTTGGCCCCACAGCGTCCTCCTGGTGAGCCTCCTCCCAAGAAGTCCGCGGCGTGCCGGTGTTCCGTTGGAGATGAGTCATCCCAGATCCTCAGCCCTCTGTATTGTGTTTATCTTCATTCTCTAGTTTTTTTCTGTGTTGTTCTTTAACAGGATTCTGCTTCTTTAAACTGCTCTTCCCTTCTCCTTTTCTCCATGCTGGTTTTCACCATATTTGAATGGACTTTGAGCGGGTTTGGCTTGTCCTTTGCTCGGAGATGCAAAACCTTTATGACAAAAACTTTTCAGCTTCTCAGCCCTGTTTTATGAATTCATGTCTCTGCTTTACTATCTGACCTCCACACGATACCTGGACCGTGTCAGGGAATGCTGTCATGGAGAGCTTGGCTTTCATCTTTCTGCCTGAAGCCTACATTTTGGTGCCAGAACCTCTTTCGTCCATCTTCCTCTGTGTCTCTGTCTCCTCCCCAGCACCTTTTACAAGCCTTTCCAGAAACCTCCTGGGATCTGGCCACCGCATGCCTAGCAGGAGAGTCATGATGTGACTCTGGATCACAAGTCCCAAGTGTGTTTTGTCTCAGCTCGCTCTCTGGGTCCTTCATCCGGGGACCACCACCACGTTCCTGGTAGGCTTCACTGCCTGGTCTGGGACAGGAGCTCCTTACAGATAAACTGCTAGCTGCTGGCTGTTCAAGTGTGTGGCAGTCCAACACGGCCCCTGAGGTGAGCTGTGATGGTCCATATGGACATGGAGGACACTGTTCTTCTGCCCGTGGAAGGGCTGACCATCTTTACCCAGGTTGCATCTGCACCTGCCCTGTAGCCTCCAGCCCGGGGCTGGGCTAACGTGGCACTCATGGAGGCTGCTCCCGCCACCGGAGGACTCTCCAGTGTCACCTGCCCATAACCTGCCGAGGAGAGCCATAAGCTGCTCCTACATGGACCTGGCAACTCCGGAGCAGCACCATGGGGAAGGCAGCCAGGCTTCAGTGCTGGGCCCATGCTGCCGGACCCTACCCTGTCCTGCTTTCCTTAGTGCACACTCTTCATCCTGTGCAGTCCTCCTCCCATTCCTGATCTCCATGTGAGACTGGCCTTTTCTGTATCCAGACAACAGCCGAGCTTTGAGGAGCTGACAGCTGGCAGATGATGCTCTGGCTCAGGACTGGGAGACCGAGAACTTCAGAATACTCTGAGGTTTCCTCTCGGTTCCTTTTCTCTTGTATAACCTAGCGGATATATAAAAAATTAGCCACGAGCTTTCAGTTAGGTTTAGTTAAATGGCTTTTGGCTAGGTGTGTAAGACTGAAGATCCTACCAAGAAATGGCCTTATATTGGTTAGGTTTAGTACAAAGATGGGGCAGCTGCCAGGCAGAGCTTACCACCAGACAAGAGACCCTGGAAAGGGGGAGGTCTAAACCAGAGCTGGAGGGCTGCAAGTGTCCATCCTGCTCCATGGGGACTGCTGGCTCTCCAGGGCACGAGCTAATGAATGAGGCTGCTGGGAAACGGGGCACCTGGAGATCGGGTGAAAAGTGTGGTGGAGGTTGGAAGGCGTGGAACTAGAGACTGACGAAGAGGAGACAGTCGGAGTGCAGGGGCTGTGGGCAGGAGCACAGGAATGGCCGGGACGGAGCGGGATGAGAGCAGCCGGTGCCTTGTTTCTTACAGCAAGGCCTCTGACCCCGTAGCGGTGTGGAGGGCTCTGAGATCTGGAGATGGCACAGGACTAGAGTGTGTCAAGGACACAGCTTGGCTGTTCACCCTGGATTTGGCTGAAGCATTGTCTAATCCATTTCCAGGAAAGAGCAGAAGTCTCAAAGATGAATATGAAGCCTCTTGGCTGACATGGGAGCCTGAATCATTGAGGTTCTCTGGAGATGGCATTAGTGTTTGCAGGTCTGTGTGGGAAGAAGCTGAACTAACCCCAGTGCGGAGTGAGGTGAGGCCTGGGAGCTATAAAACTTCCCCGTTGCGCTCTGGCCCTTTAGGTAAATTATGGCATTTCTGATGTGTCTCCATGTTTGTAATGCAGATGGTGGTTGGACAGTCGCGGTTATGCCAACCCAGAGCAGAGGGCCGTGTCTCCCCTGCGCTGCAGCCAACGCTGCCGAGTGTCAGCCTCCACACAAAGAGCGTAAGAGCAGTGAGAGCCCCTACCGACACCCCCGATCCTGCCTTCCAGCTCCGGGTAACCTGCGGCTGGGGGGCCTCCTGAGGCAGAGGTGGGTCTTTGCATTTAACAGCCCTCAGTGGACTTCTTTACCATTGGTTTGCCCCATCACTTTTTGAGCCCATGCAAATCTCCAGGCTACACGGCAGGTTACGGTAAGGAGTTCCACGGCTAATCTATACCTGTATCTAGCTATCAGCTCTACAAGCTGTGGCAAAAAATCCATTTTCCAGGACATTACTGGGTTAATTAAGGCAAATAGCCTAAGGTAATGCGTTTAAGGAGAGTAAGTTTCCTTCTATTAAACAGTGGTAGAATTATTCAGCCCTGAACTCTACGGCAGAGTGGTTCTGGGGCTGCCTCCTCCCCCGGAGCGTGGCACGTGGGCTGAGTCAGCTCAGGACACAGGACGGCAAAAGAAGCTGAGAAATGCCCAGAGGCCAGCTTGAGGGAATGGACGCACCGCTGCCGGCTCCCCTGACCGCAGGTGGACGGACGAGAGATACGGCACGACAACGTCCCCCACGGGGTCTCAGCTCCTGTGCGTATCCCACAGCACAGCTCTCTATAGAGGCTCCATGGGGAGCCAGGGAATTGGAGGGAGGGGAAGCACAGCATGAGAGCGAATTGAGTGTATGTACTGCTGAGAGACCAAACCACTTTAAGCGGAGGGCGTCTGTAGTCCAGATGACCCCAGAAAAACTAGACAAGCTGAGCCATAAAGAGTAAACACACATAATCCCACCTCAGGAACCCATAACACCACCCTGATGTACTGCCTACAGAGAAATATGCTCTCCATGCAAAATTCAGGTTTGAAAACCTGCAACTCTAAGAACACCCTGCAAATCTGATAAGAAAAAAAATGTTCCTCATGCATAAGAAAACAGACTAGAAGGAGAATAAAAATACCATTCTCACTGCACCTCACACACCACAAAAGACATAGTTCCATTTAAGTTTGGCTGAGGAAAACGAGGACAACATATTTCAACAAAACGACCTGAGATGACCCAGGCTGATTCCTGTGTTCCTGAAATACTACAGGAGAAAAAAGCTTAATACACTCTACCACAACGCTCAGGGGAGTCGCTTAAAAGCTGTACCTGATATGCGTAAGTTACTGAAAAAGAAAGAGAACAATAAGGAAATTCACTGAATGGAACTGGATTTTTAAAAAATACAATTAAAAAAAGAAAGAAAAATACCAACAACAAAGGAACTATTCACAATAACTAAATTCTTCACCAATGCAATAACAAAAAACCATGCAATATGTCTAACAATTACTTGCTAAAAACATTAAGGAAAAAAAGACCAGTATCCGGGTCGGGCACGCAGCGGCGGAGGAGCTGCATGTAGGTGAGGTTCTCGTGGGTGTTGGGGTCGAAGAAGCCCTTGGTGTCGTCGGTGGGGTCGGAGAGGATCTGGCTCATCTCCTGGTCAAAGTAGCCGCGCCGGTAGGCCACCTCCACGGGGAGGCGGTGGCTGTGCACGGGGTCGATGATGCCGCCGGTGGCGATCTGGGCCTCGAGGAGGCGTATGCCGTGCTCCTTGACGATGAGCTCCTTCTTCATGGCCTGGAAGAGGGAGATCTGGTCGCCGGTGTAGGGGTCGGTGTAGCCCGTGACGGCCCTCTCGGCCGACAGGAGCTTCTCGTGCAGCTCGCTGCCCACCAGCCCGGAGGAGACGGCCTCGTCCACGGAGAGCTTCTTGCTGGTGAGCGGGTCAACGAGGAAGCCGGTGGCAGCCTGCGCCTCCAGCAGCACCAGGGCCGTGCCCTGCCTCAGGATGCCCTTCCACATGGCCTGGTAGATGCTCATCTTCTCCATCTTGGCGGGGTGGTCCTTGGAGGGCACCAGCACGCCGGCGATACTTCCAGTTCCCTCAAGGTATCTTCTCACACTTTCCATTTGTGCTATTTCTTGGGCCGTCTCTTTTCCTTCATTGAGTTTTTCCATTGTTTCTTCTGTGATTATCTGTGCGCTGAGGAGTTCTGATGCTGTTATTTGTTGTCTCAGTCCTTGGAACCAGACGTCACTTCTGTCCTCTTCTTTTTCTTTAATGATATTTAGTATTGTTTCAATGATTCCTTGCAGAATGTGGTGGGATTTCTCTTTATATTTTTTTACCAGTTCTTTTCTTTTGTCTTCTGTGATGTACTCAGAACATACGAGTTCCCACAGTGATAACACACGTCCTTTGTATTTTCCTACAGTCACTTTTACCTTTGTAGATAATAGTGCATTTTTTGTTTGCTCATCAATGTAGAAATAACCATCTTCTTTTTCCATGATCTGCAGCAGGTACAATCCAGTATCTCTGTCTTTGGAACATCTCTGTAGGAGTTGACTGTAACTGATTTTCTCATGAGTGTTTGGATCTATAAAACCTTTGCTACCATGATCTGGATCAGAAAGTAGGAGAAACGTATCATTATCCAAATATCCGCGCCGATAGGCCACCTCCACGGGGAGGCGGTGGCTGTGCACAGGGTCGATGATGCCACCGGTGGCAATCTGGGCCTCAAGGAGGCGGACGCCATGCTCCTTGACTGTTATCTTTTGTTGCATGGCCTGGAAGAGGGAAATTTTATTTCCTGCATGAGGATCTGTGTATCCTGTCACGGCCCTCTCTGCTGACAGGAGCTTCTCGTGCATCTCGCTGCCCACCAGCCCAGACAGGACGGCCTCATTCACAGAGAGCTTCTTATTTTTCAGTGGGTCAATGAGAAAACCAGTGGCAGCCTGTGCCTCCAGCAGCCCCAGTGCACATGGCTCTGTGAGGAGGCCCTTTTTCAGGGCCTGGTAGATGCTCATCTTCTCTTTCCTTGATGGGAGTAGAACTCCAGCAATGCATCCAGTGCCATCCAAGTACCTTTTGATGGTGTCCCTCTTTGTGAGGCTGGCAAGCGTGAGACTCCCATCCTGCAGCTGATCTAGAGTTTTCTTGTCAATTATCTCAGAGTTAAACAATTCTGATATTGACACATCCCCCCGGAGTCCTTTAACCTTGAGGGCTTCCCCTCTTTGCTCGGTATCCTCAATTATTTTGAGAATGAGAGCTATAAGATCTTCCAGTGTGAGGGTTTTGCATTTGTACTGTATCACTAGTTCTTTCCTTTTCTGCTCAGAGATGTAATGAGAGCAGAGAATTTCCCAGATGGAAACTCTTTGGTCCTTAAACTTTCCAATTTTCACTTCAAGGGGCTTAGAGCGCAAAACTTGTTTTGTAGACTCATCAATGTAAAAGTACTTTCCTCTTTCCTTTACAACTTGTAGCATGTACAACCCAGTCTCTGAATCTTGGACACATCTCTCCAGGAGCTGCATGTAGGTGAGGTTCTCGTGGGTGTTGGGGTCGAAGAAGCCCTTGGTGTCGTCGGTGGGGTCGGAGAGGATCTGGTTCATCTCCTGGTTGAAGTAGCCGCGCTGGTAGGCCACCTCCACGGGGATGCGGTGACTGTGCACGGGGTCGATGATGCCACCGGTGGCAATCTGGGCCTCGAGGAGGCGAATGCCGTGGCTCTTCACAATCAGTCCTTGGTTCATAGCTTCAAACAGGGACATTGGGGCTTTTGTGTAGGGGTCGGTGTAGCCCGTCACGGCTCTTTCTGCACACAGTAGCTTTTCAAAAATCTCCCCTCCAATTAGACCTGCAGTTAATGCTTCCTCCACTGAAAACTTCTTGTTTTTCTCTGGGTCGATGATGTAGCCGGTGGCAGCCTGTGCCTCCAGCAGCACCAGTGCTGTCCCTGGTCTCAGGATGCCCTTCCGCATGGCCTGGTAGATGCCCATCTTCTCATTGCTTGGCTGTATAAGGACCCCTGCTATGAAATTGCTGCCCTCCAGGTACCTGCGGACAGAGTCCATTTCAGTGACTTCTTTGACTGTTTTCTTCCCCTGGTTGAGCTCATCGAGGGTTTTTTTGTCTATCAGTTGAGACTGGAAGAGGTCACTGGCGGATACTCTTTTCCGCAGGCCCTTGAATGCAAACTTCTTGCCATGTGTCTCAGTCTCTTTGATGATTGTGGTGACAATTGTTACGATTTCGTGTAGCACTTCAGTATTCTCATCTTTGTACTTCTGCACTAGCTCTCTTCTCTTGCTGTCTGAGAGGTATTCAGAGTTGAGAAGGTCCCAGACTGACACAGTCTGTCCTTTGAACCTCCCTATGTTGACACAAACTGTCACAGATTTCAGCACCTCCATGGTTTGTTCATCCACACAGAACATGGCATCTTCTGAGAGAGGAAGGAGCCAGACACCTGACTCAGCCTCCTGAATGCATCTGTCCTTCAGCTGCTGGTAGGTCACGTTCTCCTTTGTGTTTGGATCAAAGAAGATTTTGGTGCTGTCATTCAGCTGAGAGAGGGTTTGGTTCAGGTCCTCATCGTAGAAGCCATACCTGCACGCGGCCTGGAGTGGAAGATGATGGTGGTGAATGGGATCAATGACCCCTCCTGTGGCCAGCTGGGCCTCTAGCAAGGGAACAGCGTCTCCCAGGGGAATCAGCTCTTTCCTGAGCGCTTGGCATAGTGAGATGGAACTCCCCGTGTAGGGGTCTGTGTAGCCAGTCACCGCCCTCTCAGCGAGAAGGAGTTTCTCGGTGAGCTCTTCGCCAACAACAGCTGCTTTCACGGCATCCCTCACGCTGAGTCTCTGGTTTGTTGCCGGGTCAGTTAGGTCTCCTGTGGCTGCCTGAGCTTCTAGCAGCCTCAGAGCAGCCCCAGGGAGGAGAAGATTGTTTTTCATGGCATCGTAAAAGGTCATCTTCTTTGTGGATGCTTCTATGAACACCCCGCCAATGCTGCCTGTGCCCTGCAATTACCTCCTCACACTCTCCATCGCAGCC